TGAAACTTGCTCTTGAATGTAGAGTAGCTAAAGCCAGTGGAAGAAATGATGAAGTAAATGAGCTGAACAGGAGATTTCAAGGGTGCCTAGAGAAGACAAGGTAAAGTATTATAATGAGATATGCAAAGACCTGGAAGAAGTTCAAGCTTCACTGAAGGCATTGGCAAAAAACAAGACTTCAGGAATTAACAGAATACCAACTGAGATGTTTCAACAAAGAGATTCTGCACTGGAAGTACTAACTCATCTATGCCAAGAAATTTGGAAGACAGCTACCTGGCCAACTGACTGGAAGAGATCCCTATTTGTGCCCATTCCAAAGAAAGGTGATCCAACAGAATGTGAAAAATAACAAGCAATGTCATTAACATTACCACAAGTAAAAAAAAAAAAAAAAAGAAGATAATTAAAAAATGATTACGGCAGTACATCAAAAAGGAACTTCGAGAAATTCAAGCTGGGTTCAGAAGAGGATGTGGAATGAGTGATCATTGCTGATATCAAATGGATCTTGGCTGAAAGCAGAGAAGACCAGAAAAATGTTTGTTTACCTGTGTTTTATTAACTATGCAAAGGCATTCCACTGTGTGGATTCTAACAAAGTATGGATAACATTGCAAAAAATAGGAATTCCAGAACCCTTAATTGTGCTCATGAGGAACCCTATGCATAGACCAAGAGCAGTCATTAGAACAGAACAAAGGGGGTACTTTGGGCTTAAAGTTAGGAAAGGTATGTGTCAGGGATGTATCCTTTCACCATACTTATTCAATCTGTATGCTGAGCAAATAATCCGAGAAGTTCGACTATATGAAGAAGAATGTGGTATTGAGATTGGAGGAAGAATCATTAACAACTTGAGATATGCAGATAATACAACTTTGCTTGCTAAAACCAAAGAGGATCTGTGACACTTACTGATAAAGATCAAAGACTACAGTCTTCAATATGGATTACATGTCAACATAAAGAAAACAAAACCCCTCATAACTGGAACAGTAAGCAACAACGTGATAAATGCAGGAAAGATTGAAGTTGTCAAGGATTTCATTTTATTTGACTCCACAGTCGGTGCCTAAGGAAGCAGGTGCCAAGAAATCAAACAAAATATTGCATTCAGCAAATCTGCTGTAAAAGACCTCTTTAAAGTGTTCAAAAGCAAAGATGTCACTTTGAGGACTAAGATGCACCTCACCCAAGCCATGATGTTTTCAATTGCCTCGTATGCACATGAAGCCTGGATAATGAATAAGGAAGACTGTAGAAGAATTGATACATTTGAATTATGGTATTGGTGAAGAATATTGAATACACTATTGTTGTTGTTATGTGCCATCGAGTCGGACCTGACTCATAGCGACCCATCCTTGGGTTTCTGAGGCAGTATCACTACGGAAGTAGATTGCCCCATCTTCCTCCCGAGCAGTAGCTGGTAGGTTTGAACCGCCAGCCTTCTGGTTAGCAGTCAAATGCCTTAGGCACTATGCTATCAGAGCTCCTGAATACACTATAGTCTGCTAAAAAGAACAAACAAATTTATCTTGGAAGAAGTACAGTTGACCCTTGAGCAACACAGGTTTGAACCGCAAGGGCCCGCTTAGATGTGAAATTTTTTTTTTCAATAAACATATTGGAAACTTTTTGGAGATTTGTGACAATTTGAAAAAACAGATGAACCATGTAGCCTAGAAATATTGAAAAAATTAAGAAAAAGTCATGTCATGAATGCATAAAATATACGTAAATACTTGTCTGCTTTATCACTTATTACCATAAAATATGCACAGATCTATTATAAAAAGTTAAAATGTATCCAAATTTATGCACACAAATACAGACCACATATGGCACCATTCACAGTGGAGAGAAATCAAAAGAAATGTATCAAAACGTAAAGATGCAGTATTAAATTGTAACTGTATCAAATTAACTATAGTCCATACTGTACTACTGTAATAATTTTGTAACTACCTCCTGTTGCTATTGCAGTGAGCTCAAGTGTTCAAGTATCTGCTTAAAACACCTTGTTTCAGCAAGCAATGTTGTGTCATCTGCACACTGCAAGTTGTTAATGAGTCTTCCTGTAATCATCCCCAAGTGAGCAGTTCATCTCTTCAGCAAATTGTATGTTGCAGTAAAAAGTGATCTCTTATAGGTCTTGCACAGTTTTCATCATGTTTAGTGCAATGCCATAAACCTTGAATAACACCGTGGGATCCGTATGAAGTGCCACTTGTGATGCTGGAAGTGCTCCCAAGAAGCAAAGTCATGCCATTTCAAGAAAAAGTTGAATTGCTTGATTGAGATCTGCAGCTGCAGTTGCCCACCATTTCAGGATAAATGAATCCAGCATAAGGACCACTGTCAAAACAAGAAAAGGAAATCTGTGAAGCTGTTGCTGCAGCTACACCAGGAGGTGCAAAGACCTTGCACTTTTTGTGAAATACCTTTTTATCTCGTATCGAAAGTGAAGCATTTATGTGGGCTCAGGATCGCTGTAAGAAAGGCATACCTACAGACTCTAATATGATTTGAGAAAAGCAAAGTCATTATATGACAACCTAAAAAAGAAGATGAAGGATCTAAAGCTGGAGAATTTAATGACAGCAAAGGGTGGTCTGATAATCTTAGAAAGAGGTTTGGCTTAAAGAATGGCAAGGTAATAGGAGAAGCAGCTTTTGCCGACCAAAAGGCAGCCGACAAGTTCTCAGAGGCCATGAAGAAAATCATTGAAGAGAAAGGATATCTGCCTGAATAGGTTTTTAATGCAGACAGAAGTGCCCTATCGTGGAGAAGAAGAAGAAGAAGAAATGCCACAAAGGACATCTATCAGTAAGGAGGAGAAGCGAGCACCAGGATTTAAGGCAGGAAGGGATAGGCTAACTCCATCGTTTTTGCAAATGCAGTTGGGTTTGCTTATGGATCAGGACTGCTTATGTTAGTAGTAAGGCTTCTGGTCAACAGTAGGCTTTTAGTAGTTAAGCTTGGGAGGAAACAAAAATTACATGCAGATTTTCAACTGTGCAGGGGGTCAGTGCCCCTAATCCCCATGTTGTTCAAGGATCAACTACACAGCCAGAATGCTCCTTAGAAGTGGGGATGGTTTCATGTACTCTGGACATGTTAATAGGAGGGACCAGTCCTGGAGAAGGACATCATGCCTGGAAAAGTAGAAGACCAGTGAAAAAGAGGAAGAGATGTGGGTTGACACAGTGACTGCAACAATGGCCTCAAACAGCAGTGATTGTGAGGATGGCACAGAACTGGGCAGTGTTTCATTCTGTTTACATCATATGCAGGGTTGACGGCACCTAAAAACATTATCTAGGCATCGAGCCAGGCAGAAGGGATATAATGATTGCAAAGGGTAACATTCTAGGGGGACCCAGATGGTGCTAAGAACTGAGATGGATGTGGGGGGAACAGGAGGCAGTGGCAGCTCAGAGCAGACTACCACCCAGCTGGGGTAAGGGAGGGCTTCGTGGAGGAGGGGGTGTCTAGGCTGAGGCTTGGGAGATGAGCCAGCATTGACCAGGCAAAGCAGAAAGACATTCCCGGTAAAGGCACAGGTGCCAAGGGAGGGAGACCTGGGAACACCTGGCACCATCAGGGCCTGCCGAGGGGGCCAGGGTGGGGCTGGTATATCTGGGTGAGGGTCAGAGGGCAAGAGAGGCAGGCAGGGCCTTGAAGGCCAGGGCTCTCCTCCCTGTCTGCACCACGGGAGGGCACTTTGGAAGTACCTGAGGAGCTTGGAGAAAAGCACTGGTCCCTGGCACCCACCCCAGATGAATTACACCAAATCTTTGGCAGTGGGTCCAAGCCCGAGTACATTAAAGCCCCCACAGAGCAGCACTGGCTGGAGGGTGGGGAGATGTGGGAGAGTTTTAAGGGATCAGATGTATGTCTGGAAAGATCCTCCAGTGGTAACAGAGGAGGGCCAACAGGAGCCAAGATGCACTTAAAGGGGAGGAAGACAAGGAGGGCGGGGAGTGGAACTTGTAGGAAGAGGCTGGCTTTGGTTTGGAGCTCTCTCAGCATTAACCTTGCAGAGAAGGAGCTGGAATGGGGTGACAGAGGGGAAGAGAAGCAGAGGGCGAACAGAGCAGGACAGATACAGGGGGCATCTGAGATGCAAGGAGAATCAGGGAAGGAAGTGTGGAGGGGGGCTCCCAGGCACCACTTCTCACCTCTGCCCTCTGCCCTCTGCCCCCACCGGGCAGGCCCCACCAGCAATGCTCTGCAGAAGGTGGATGTGCAGCTGATCCCACAGGACCTGTGCAGCGAGGCTTACCGCTACCAGGTGACACCACGCATGCTGTGTGCTGGCTACCGAAAAGGCAGGAAGGATGCCTGCCAGGTGACTACCTGGGGCAGGGAATGGCTGGGATGGTAAGACGGTGACACTGACATCACCCAGGGACTGGCCCCTTGCTCAAATCAACCTGCTGGCCTCATAGCCTCCTGAGAAGGTGGGAGTGGTTGTTCCTACTTTACAGATGAGGAAACAGGCTCAGAATGGTTGAGGGGCTTGCCCGAGGTTGCCGAGCCACAAATCAGGGGAGGCCCTGTGGTGGGCATGACTCGAGCTCAGACCCAGCTCTGCACCTTGCGAACTGAAAGGCATGCACCCAAGGCTACAGACTAGGAAGAACTCTAGGAGGGGAGGGATGTCACCTGTGCAAGACAGGCATAGGGACACACATCCATGGTGCCAGGAGAGGTCTATCAAGCCAGGACCTGCTGGAGGCCAGCAACAATGAGGGCTCAATCAGGACCCTCTGGAAAACACAATCTTTATACAGTAGCTACTTTGAAACAGAATCAATACATGTGGGCGGAGAGGTGTTTTAAGAAATTGGCTCATGTGACTGTAGGGGCTGGCAAGTTGGAAATCTGCAGGGCAGGCTGGCAGGCTGGCCACACAGGCAAGATTTCTGTTACAGTCATTTTTTTTCTTTTTTTACTTTTTATTGTCGTTTGGGTGAAAGTTTACAAATTGGTTTTCCATTCACCAATTCATGCACATTTTGTGACACTCATTGCAATCCCCCTAGTGTAACAGCTCTCTTCCCACTTCCTCCCTGCGTTTACTATTTCCTTTCATCCTTCTCTCCTGTCCTGCCCCACTGTCTGAGCTTCACCCCTGGGCAGACGCTGCCCTTTGATCTCCTACGCTTGGTTGTTCTAAAGAGTGGTATCTCCCTGGTGTTACCGTTCACCTTCTAGACCTATCATTTGGCTGAAGGTCGAGCCACTGGGGTGTGTTCAGTTCCAGGCTTAAAGGGTGTCTGAGAGCCCAAGTCTCTCAGCGGTCCCACCAATCTATCAGACCAGTTTAGCTTGGTCTTTTTTTTTTTTTTTTTTAACGATTTTGAGTTTTGTTCCACATTTTTCTCCCACTCTATTCAGGATCCCCTCCTGTGATCCTTCTCAGAGCAGTCAGCAGTGACAGCCAGGGACTATCTAGTTCTTCTGGTCTTGGGTCATGGAGGCTGGGGTTCAGGTGGTCCATCTGTCCTTTGGACTAATTGTTTCCTTGTGTCTTTGATTTCCTTCACTTCTCTTTGCTCCGATGAAAAGAGACCAACAGTTGCACCTTAGATGACTGCTCACAAGCTTGTACGACCCCAGTTGCTACTCACCAAAGTAGGATGTAGAACATTGTCTTTGTGGACTAGGTTACTGCAAGTTAACCTTGACGTTCGCCTAGACTGTGGTCCAGAGACTCATTCCCTCAGTGTTTGTTATGTCTAAGAAGTTTTCACACCTTTGCCCCTGTATGCTCTGGATTCGTGGATACACTTGCAGCACATATAAATACGTATGTAGGAAAAGCCTCTGTCACACGGATATGTATTCGTGGGTACAGTCCCATTTCCCTCTCCCACCTATTCAGCTTGCAAGTTCAGCTTATCTATGTTCTACTCATAGTCTATTAATCCTCCTTCTTTGGGAAAGCTCAGTTATTGCTCTTGAGGCCTTCAAGCGATTGGATGAGCCCCACCCACAATATTGAGCATAATCTTCCTAAAGGTTCTAAGAGTGACACCTACAAAATGCCTTCCGAACAACATCTAGACAAGTGTTTGACCAAACAACTGGACACTGTAGCTCAGCCAAGGTGACATGTGAAATTAACCATACTCCATTTGGGCTTTTCAAAGAGGACATGTCTGTAAGGACTGGAGCCCCGGTGGCCCCAGCCTTTTTGGTAGAGACCCTGATACAGCTGCCTCTTCTTTCCCCTTCAGGGTGACTCAGGTGGCCCCCTGGTGTGCAAGGAGTCCAGCGGCCGGTGGTTCCTGGCGGGGCTGGTCAGCTGGGGCTTGGGCTGTGGCCGGCCCAACTACTTCGGCGTCTATACTCGCATCACAGGTGTGATTGGCTGGATTCAGCAGGTGCTGACCTGAGCAGCCACCCACCCCCTGAAGAGCTAGGGCCCACCCCCTGGACTCGGAGAACCCAGGGCACCCACCAGGTGGGGGAATAAGTATTCTGAGGGGTGAGAGGCCCCCATCCACTCCCTGCTGTCTGCTCCTGGGAAGACACAGGGGGAAAAGTGCTACTTACCGATGGCAGCCATCTCCCAAGGGCCCAGTACCTGGCTGGGGTCACGTGCAGTCCTACGTCATCCCCGTCCTGCAGCCTCCGTTCAGCAGGAACGGGGCAGGTATATGAGACTACCCCATCCCCATAATACAGAGGCTGCTTGGGCAACATAAACTTCCAGCCAGTGAATCCTTAGGGGCTAACGTGAGAAGCAGGGGTGGAAGGTGCCCCAGCAGAAGAAGCCCTCTAAACAGCCTCGTGGGGTAGCTGTCACCCAAGCCAAAGGTGGGGACCCCGGGACCAGAGTCCTTACCCCACACCTCTGCCAGCCACCTGGGTCTCCACTGCCCAGACTCTCACCTGGAGGCGAGCTGGGCCATTCAGAGGAATAAAGCCGCCTGACTCACAAGATCATGCTGTGGTTTTGAATGGGGACCCTGCCCAGGCTCTAACGCTCGGCTGTACCAGACCGGCCTCCTGCTCAGTCTGTTTGCCAGGAGTCCAGCAGGCCAAGGTGGGCTCAGTGGAGGCAGGGTGGCTGCTGAGAGCTGGAGCCTCCAGGCATATGCCAGGGTCTTGGGAGTAACGCCAAGAAGGCAACAATTTGGGGACCCTCATGCCAGAGTGAGGGATGAGCCTTCTGGGAACTTGGAGGTAACTGAGGCCCAGGGACCTCCCCCAGATCGCGTGGTGATTAGGCCAGCAGCCTGTGGGGTGGTCTGTCTACTGGCTCCTAGTCCACTGCTGCCCCCTCCTGCATCCCATCCATGCGCTTCGCTGAGTAGCAGTAGGTGTCGCGGGGAGGAGGTGGTTTAGGGGAGGAGGTGGTTTAGAGCCCACGGTTGAAAGGACACGGTGACTCACTGGGTGGAGGTGGAGGTGGAGATGAGGAAGGAGGCACCATCCAGCCTCACACGCGTGTATCCCTGTTTGAACAGTGGTCGATGCAGGAATTACTGGCCAACGTCGGGGCTCTGTGGAGCTTGAGAAAGGTTGAGGCGAGGAGTTCCAGAGACTGTACCATCTGAGAGGCAGACGATGTAGAAGACAGCTGGGAGGTGGGGACGTGCACTGTGGAGGCTGGGAGACCCCGAGACCATGCCAACGAGCGGCCCAGAGCAAGGATCAGAGCAAGGCACAGGGAGCGTGGATGGGCCTTGGGCCCAGGCCCGAAGGAGGCCCAGGGACATGCCTCTGGAGCGGCGGAGTCTCGGCAACCAAAGGGAAGGGAGTAGAGGGGCGAGCCAGGCTGGAGGGGCAGGCAGAGGATGACGTGTAGCCAACTTTTTTTTGAAGCTCTACTGGGAGAAGGCCGATTGCAGTGCCTCAGAGGGAGATAGCCACTAGGGGATGTTTTTTTTTTTTTTCCAGATTTGGAGCAGCCCTAGCTTGAATGAAGGGGCAGCTTCAGGCAGACGGGGTATCCCAGGCGCCAGGAGATGGAGCAGGCCGGTAGCAGGGGCTGCATCCATGGTTGGACCCACCTGGAGGTGGAGGCAGGATGTGAACAGACCCCACCCAGTGGTTCTCAGGGTGCTTACCAAGTAGGCAGAACCCGGCGCTGGAATCAGTACCTGGGCACCCAGACTTGAGTGGAGTGTGGGGGATGGACTTAAACAAAAGCTTAGCTGCTTGAACTCACCAACAGCTGTGCGAAGAAGGCAATCTGCGTCCATAAAGATTTACAACCTTGGAAACCTTTTGGGGCAATACTACCAGCCCTTTGTGTTGCTCTGAGTTAGAATCCACTCAAGGGCAACACATTTGATTTTCAATGAGTGAGGGTGGCAGTAGTAATGTGTTCTTCTAACAAGCACTCCACCTGCCCTGTGAAGCTTATTCAAGTGAGACCTACTGGAGTGGACAGCTGACCTGCTTTGTGACTGGGGAGACTGGAGCAAGGCATAAACTTAGGGGTCTAGGAGCTGAAGGGCTAGGACAAAGGGGGATGGAAGGGCTGTGGGCATGGAAAGCAAAGCCCTGAGGGTAGAGAGGGTGGTGGAGAAGCTGTTTATACTCCCTAGGACTTGGGGCCTGACCAGACAAGGGGTGGCAGGAGCAGGGAGGGGTGGCCATGGCGAGGGGTCATAGCAGGAAGGGAGGAGGCATCCAAGGAAGGTTTCAAATGCAGCAAAGGCTGGGGGCAGCTGAGTGAAATCAGCCAGCAGAGAGAGCCCCAGGGCAGTGGGGCTGGCGAGTCGGAGTTCCCAGCCTCCTCCACATCTCCATCTTGGTTGGCTGCCTGCATGACTCTAAGGCACTGGGCCTTTCCGTCTTCTGGTCTAGCCCTTCATTTTATACACTGGGAACCTGAGGTCCAGAGAGTGACAGCCCCTTGTCAAAGGGCCCCCAGCTTGGGTTGTTTCTATTGTACCAGCTGCCCATGTTGTCCCCCACAGGGCAGAGGATGTGGCCATGCCCGCCACCCCCACCCCTGGACACAAATACACATACATGAGCGTGATAACAGGACAGAGTCTCTGGGCTTTAGGACAAAGCTCCATTATTTTGGGGTCAGTCTGTCCCACTTTCAGTTTAGCCCCTATCCCCAAAGTGGCCCAGAGAAAGAGGGAAGCACTCAAGCTGCAGTGTCTTTAGGTTTTATTACATAGTGGGTTCAGACACAGCTGAGAACCAAGTACCCATCCGGGGAAGTCAAGCCCCCGCCCCCCCCCCGACTCTCCCCTGGGCAAAAGGAAGAGTCTCCCCCTCTTTCCCACGTCACAAGTTCCTGAGTTGCTCAAGGGCCCTGCTGACCCACTTCTGCCCGGGGGGTCGGGGATGAGGGCTCTCTACTAGCGGTGAAGATGGGAGGGGGTGCGGCCAAGGTAAAGGCCATGTCTCCCATCCAAACCCCACCAATACCTGAACCTCCACTTACACACACTGTCCTGTGGGGTTAGGCCAGTCTTTCTGGCTCCCAGGGTGGGTGACGGGCATGCCCCTGCCCGTGCCTAGTGCTTTAGGCACCCCGAGGGCTTTCCCCACCCCATTCCAATCTGCACCCTCACAACCACCCTGTGAGGTAGGGGGGGTGCGAGGAGTTCCCCCGAGTGACAGGCAGGGAGACTATGGCTCAAGGAGGTGACAGGACTGGGCCAAGAGGGCGTGTATCCACCACGCAGCAGGGGACTCCGGGGGAGGGAGCAAATGGGCTTCGGAGACACAGCTGGACAGTGTCACACATTGGCCACAGGCAGGAGGCTCTGCCAAGGGGTCCCAAGGCCCACCTCAGGGCTCGAGAGGGCCCAGCAGACCCCCACAGGTGCAGACAGAAATGGCAGAGGGGAGGATGCTTCCCCCGCCTCAGGCCAGGGGCCCACCCCATGGTACAAAAACAAAGGGTTTCAGATGGGAACCCCAATTCCCTGGAGGTGATCTGAGGTCTCACATCCGGGTACCTCTGGCTTGTAACAGCTAGAAAATAAGAGGGGGAAGGGACAGGGGGCAGGGGTGGGTGGCCAGAAAACCAGGGAGGGGGATGAGGGGGCAGGCAGTGGGGGTGGGGGTGCAAGGGCCAGGAGAAGGCAGAGAGGAGATTGAGACGGAAGGAGGGAGAGGGAGAGGGAAAGAGAGAGAGAGAGAACAGGTGAGTTACAGGCCCCTTCGGGAGGGAGGTGTGGGAGGAAGCCCACAGAGAGGGAGTCAGAGCTGGGGGGGTCAGGAAGGGGTCCCCCACCTGGGGCAGGAGTAGTGGCTCTCCTGTGGCCACTTAGGGAGTCCAGGTTCTCTGCCAAGACTCTGGCCAGTGGGATCAGGGACAGGAGAGGCAGGTCACTGCAGTCCCAGGCAAAAGGGGTCACAGAGAGCAGCTGTCCCCATTTTGGAGGCAACCGTGGCCCAGAGAGGGACAGTGACCTGCCCAAGGTCACACACCAGGTAGCTAAAACTGAGTGGGGGCTTCTGGACACCTGGCCACAGCCGATGCTCAGTTCCCTCTGGCTGACTCCTCATAGGCCCACGGAATCCAACTGCGGGCCTGTCCTCCCCGCCCCAGGGAATGGAGCAGTGCGGTCAGACAGGGATGCAGGGCTCCCGGCGCAGGGGTGAGGACCCGGCCTCTGCATCAGTGTCCCTCCCCAGCTCGGCTCCGGCATTTACCAGCAGGTGGGAACATTCCCACCCTCTCTTCTCCTCTCAGAGCCTCACACCCAACGCCAAGACAGGCCAAGAAACTTGGGTGGGGGAGGAAAGCCGCTGAAAGCTCGGCTCAAGTCCGAGGAGCCAGAGATGACCCCCTCCTCGCTTCCGCCCTCCCTCCAGCTCCGCCAAGCTACAAACCAGGGACGGCGGCTCTGGGGGCGGGCGAGGGGCCGAGCAGAAGCCCTCACTGCAAGCTCAGCCTCAGGTCTGAGAGGGTGCAGACGGGAACCTGCAAGGACGAAACGTGAGGAGGAGGCGCAGGGGCGAGGGGAGGAGCCAGGCCAGGGCGGGGCTGTGGCCAAGGCCCGGCCTCAGGGCTGCCCTATGGCAGCCCCCAAGGAGGAGGTACAGCTGCGCCCCTCCTCCCCAGGCTGGGACGCAGGAGGTGCCAGAAGGGGCACAGGAGGCGGCAGGTGGAGCGCTCTGGGGTGCGGGGCTCGGGGGCTCGGGTGGAGAGTGCGGGAGGCTGGGACCAGGGCAGCCCTGGGATGGAGGCGCGAGCAGGCAGAGAGGAAACTCGGACAGGGGCAGAGAGGGAAGAGGCAGGGTGCAGATGAGATCCAGGAGGAAGAGGAGGCGGATGGAGATGAGGCAGGACCTCCAGCAGGAAGTGGAGGAGGAGGAGGAGGAGGAGGAGGAGGCGGTGGTGGTGGGAGGAAGGAAAGATTAGCGTGCTCCTGAGATGACTGGGCTGCAAAGAGAAAGTGAGAGAAGGGATGGTTAAGCGGCTGAGGTGGCGCTGAGCTAGCCCTGGTGGCCCGCCCCCCAGCAGTCCCGGGGACCCAGGTTCTGCGCTGGCTCCAGCAGGGAGTGGGCTGGAGGCTCCGGCTGTGTTAGCAATCACTCTCCTTGGGGATTGGCTGCACCTTTCTCCTGCGTATCTGCCTCCACCTGCACCTGTTCCTGTTCCACCTCCACCTCCACCTCCTCCTCCTCCTGCTGTTCCTCCTCCTCCTCCTCCAGCGGCTCCTCCTCGCTCTGTGAACCAGCCGGCGGACCCAGGGAAGAAAGAGTGGAGATGCTAACAAGTGGACCTCCTATCTCGGGGCAGGGCGGGGCGGGCAAGGTTCAGAGGGCCCTCCAGGAGAGGGCAGCGCCACAGCCAAGGAAGCTGGGGAGTCTCCCCCACAGCCCTGGAAGCTTGGGGAAGGCCTGGGGAAAGCCAGCCCAGGACTGACCCCTCCCATGGGGGATGCTCATGGGTCAGTCTGGCTATTGCTAAAGGGAGCAAGGCTGGGGCACGGGGGTGAAGGGGACAGGGGACAGTGTGGCCAGGGCATCCTTGAAGGCAATCTGGGAAGGCCTCGTTTTAGGAGTCACCCTAAGGAGAAATGTGGCCAAGGAAGCCCAGGGCCGGCACCACCCAGACCCGGGCCACCAGCAAATGGCTGGTGCTCCAGGCCTGGGGCTTTGCCCAGTGGACACTCCAGAGAGACTGAGCAGCAGCTCCCTCTGACCCCAGCAGGGCAGTGTCAGCCTCTGGCAGCACCAGGGGGGTTGGCAGGGGGTCACGGCAGGACAGGAGGCAGACAGACAGACAGACAGGAAGCCAGAGTTCATAAGGCTCCCCTGCACAGGGACAGGCCCCCAGGAGGAGGAATGGCAGCTCATCTCCCTACTCCACCGAAAGCCCCAGGCTTCCGACCAGCTTGGGGTCCAGGTGGCAGGAACCCTGTTCAACCCGTCCCCCATAACGGCTGGGGGCTGCCAAAGTGTCCTTGGGAGAGAGGCGGCCTCACAGGCCACAAGGAGGCCCTGCAGAGTTCCCGCTGCCCTCCTGCAGAGCGCCAGATACGGTGGCCTGGGCCAGGACAGGGTTTGCCAGGCCGGACTCCCCACCCCAGCCCAGGCCAACAGGGGTCTTTCACCCACTCTGGGAAATAAACTGGCCTCTTGGGTCCTGAGGTCTCAAGCTTGAAGGCACCCCGGCAGTGAGAACGACTACGTGGTCCATCCCCTCACTTCACAGAGAACACAATGAGGGCGCTGAGAGGAGATGGGCCTTGCCGGAGGCCACACAGAGAGCAAGCGACACGCCACGGCCCTGCCCCCAGCTCCGTGCACCCTTCCTCATGCCACACACCTTGTGGCCATCCGAGTCCACACTGGACTGTCCCATCTCACAGTCCCCTAGCCTGGGCCCGTGGAACTGGCATGAGCAGACAGAAGCCCAGACGGCATGGGATGGGATGATGTCAGTTGTGACCATGGAGAATTATGCATGTGCGACAGGAGGGAGGAAGCAGCAGCAGGGATGGCAAGGTGGGAACAGGAAGGGAGTGGAGAAGAAAGGGGGGCTTTTCCGGATCAGGGCCACCATGGCCAGCACTGGGCGGGCTCACCTTGGTTTGGCGGCTGGATTCAGAGCTCAGCCCATGTGGGGGGCTGTAAAGTTCCTTAGACACCACGCACAGGAACTCTGCCTGGTCCTCACTGCCGTAGTTGTAGGAGGAGCCGATGGTCACCAGCTGCAGGGAGGGGCACAGAAGAATGAGGAAAGAGGCTGCAGCCAGGGGCACCTGTCAGGGTGTCCACTTAGGTCCTGACCTTGCTGTCCTGCTTAGGCCCAACCCTGGGTTGTAGAGGCCACCTGTGGCCAGAAAGACAGTCTTCTCCCCACCCCCACACCTATACCTCGGATTCTGTTCCACAGGCCCACACTCCCCACCTGGCATGGCCAAGCCCGACCCCCAGACAAAGGGGACAGCGGCATCACCACCACAGCCCCCCTACCCCAGTCTAACCCAAGGCCCAGGAGGCCACTTCCTAAAACCAGGCCTGTAATGGGCTACAAACCTGCCCCAGATGTGGCCGAGCAGCCTCAGGGCCAGCCTGCAGTTTGCATCCATGGAGCCCCATAGAAAATCGCCTTCACTCTTGGAAGCAGAGGTAGGACAGGCTGTCCGTCTGTAGTGCAATGGGTCTCTTTCCTATGGCCATCACTTTTATATGGCTTTTCTTGCCATGGTCTTGTATCTCCCACCAAATGAATGGGTGAGACTATGCAAATAAGGTGCTTGTGGCCTATGCAGGGGATTGGACAGCTTGCTAATAATGCAAATAAGGGCCATGGTGTCTTTGTGGGGATGGGACAACGCAAATAAGGTGTATGGAACCCTACTGAGGGGATTGATCAGTTTTGCCATTTTGCTAGGCTTAATAGCGACAGAGAAGGGGGACCCCACTAGTACACCAAGAAGAGATGCGAGTGGAGAGTGTCCTCTGGCCTCTGGGTCCCTGAGCTGAGAACCTACTAGACCCGGGAGACAGGACTGTGACATCTGAGGTGGCACAATCAGTCAGAAGTGGCAGCAGAACCAGGAGACCGGTGTGAGATGGCACACTGGCCTTCCAGCCTGTGGTGCGAGGCTGACACAGTGGGTGTGCTGACCACAGAGGAGGAGAGCCGAGTGCTTTCAGACGGGAAGCTTGCTGAAGGAGTAAGTGCCTCCAAGCACTCAACCAAGCAAGGCTTGCTTACTCAAGAAGCAAGAGGGACGAGTGCCTTCTGGCCAAGGCATACTGGTAGAGTGGGTGCCCCCAGACACTTACTGGCAGAGCTTGAGCAGGGCAGAGGCTGGTCCAAGGGGCTGAGGGCCAGAGAGAGGCCTGCCTTTGGGCATGGCTGAGAAGAGGCTATCCTGATCAAAGAACTATATCTTGAGGCATTCCTGATCCTGAGCTTCTGTAATAAACCCCATAAAGATGAATATGGTCTGTGATGGTCTTTGCAATGAATTAGCAGACCCAGCAGAGAAGTAGAGCACTGTGGGAGTGCCGTGGGAGGGACAGTGGGCTCTGCCTCACAGCACTCAGCCGTGGGCTGTTGATCCTGCTCCTACCTTGGGAAGTTAGATGAGGAGGTCAGCAAGGCTGCTCCATCTCATTTTTATACCATTCATTAGGCCAGAAGACAAACAACCAATGGCCTGTGACCTGCTCATTCAGGTCCTAAAAGGGGTCTGTCTTTATCTTGGGTCCCTAGAATAACCACACCCACAGGGTCCTTTCTGGCTGATGATCACACGCCTGATCTCATTCCACATTTACATAATGGTGGGGCAGCTGGGGACAAGTATATGGGCCCCTTTGGGGGAGGCAGCTTGGAGAGGTGGTTAGAGAGCCAGGAAGAGGTGAATGGGATTAAAACCCTGGATCTTGAGTTCCCTCTGGGGTCTTGTAGCCTTAACTACTTCCAATAATTCGCACAACACAAATGCAAATGCAATGAGTGTACCCTGGATGGGAATTACATCAATGACCCTTCTGCTCTTCACAATGGTCCTACAAAGGAGGTACTATTGAACCACATCACGGAGTAGGAAACTGGGGCCCCGAGAGGAGACACAGCTTGCTCAAGGTCCCACAGCCTGTCAGTGGTGAGGCCTACATGTGAAACCAGAGCTGACTTCCATGCTGGGCTGGTCCAGCCTCACTGCTTGGCCTTCTCCCTTCTTCAGTGCCCACATGCAGGGAGCTGGGGTGAGTGTGATAAAGGGCTAGCAAAACCCTCTCCTTCTCCAAGGGCAAATCTGACCGTGGGTTAACTTTCTGGCTCTGCTCCTCTGGATATCTGATCAACAGGAAGGTCAGCTCTATGACTAAGTGACACTGTGGTGAAAACCCCAAGTAGCAAACTGCATCATCGGTTCCTGAAGAGGAACTATGTGTCACCTAACACTAGATGGGAAGCCACTGCTCTGGACTCCCCTGCCTATGGTGACACTTGTACCTGGGCATGTACCTCGTGGACACCCTGCAACCGTTGTCTATGGGATTGGTACAAGGCATGGGCTCTGAGGGAGATGGGGTGCTATGCCAAAGTGAACTCTACTCACCTATGTGGGTATCATCTCCTCCTACCTGAGCTGTCAACTGGGGGCCAGAGACACACCCCACACTGTGATGCTGAGTACCACACTTGGTGAGGACCCCACCACAGGGATTTCTGGAGCTGCCCTGCAACAGGCTGGGGCTCCTGTCCCCTCCCCTTCTCAGTGAATCAGCTGCCAAGTGAGGCCTTTGGCAGCTTTGTTTAGTCTTTAGAACACCCCGAGGTGGGGGCTGCAGTGGGGAACCAAGGTCCAGAGCTGCAGGGAGGGAGGGGCCTGAATGGTCAGGGAGCTGGGAGGTCCCAGGTGGGCCCCCGGCACCCATGCCCACAGCGTACCTGCTCGAAGCGCCAGCCGTCGGACATGGTGGAGACCATCTGCGTGAGCTCCTCCTCCTGGCACTGCAGCACGCGGTACACATGCTTGGGCGGCACCTGTGGGCAGAAGGGTGTGTGGGGGCAGCGCCAAGCACCAGTCCCCCAAGTTCTTCACTCCCTCACGCAACCACATACCCACAGATGAAGAGAGGGAGGAGGAGGAGGCAGACCGGGAGGAAGGGAGCCATGTCCTGAGCATCTATGTGCCAGGCACTCAACATGCATGATCTCATGTAGTCAAAGGATTTTCACTGAGGGTCAGAGAGGTTTGGTTATTTGCCCGAGGTCACCCAGCTAGAAGGCAGAAGACCCAGAACTGGAAACCAGGTGATACCAGGGAGGGCAGAAGGGGCCATAGGTGTCATTCCGGGTCAGGTCCTTGAGAAGACATGAGCACCACCCTTCAATGCCCTAGGGCTGGAAGGTGGTGGCTCACGATCCACATCCCGCAACTACCCCAAAGTGGGTGGACAACCCCTAGTCTCTCTACTTCCTCCTGCAGACCAGCCACTAAGTAGGGGGCCATCTCCACAAAATGGGCAATTTACTACTCCTGCATCACCCCCTGCAGGGGCCCCCATATCCTCATACCACAGGGACCCCATTTTGTGTATGAGGGAAGGATGAGTGGGCAGTGCTCAGCACCTCCATATTCCACAAAGGGAAACCAAGGTCCAGCGAGGGGCATGACTGGCCCAAGGTCACATAGCAAATGGTACTGACGCAGGGACAGAACCCACGCATCCACCTCTCACTCTGGAGCTGTGGTGGAGCGTCGGGCAGCCCTTAAAGGCCAGCTGCACCTCCTCAAGGGAAACACCAGTCCTGCCTCTCCCAGATTTCTCCACCACCCCTGCCCTGGCCATGGATGCTGCCCTCGTTCCCAACCTGTGTGACAGTGTAGTCCTTCTCCTCCATTCGGTCTTTGATGATGCGGATCAGGGGGCCAATGTTGTAGAATTCGGCTTCTTCCAGGACCCCTGGCATGGACAGAGCAGCCCCCAGGTCACTCTCACTGCCCATTGGGCCACTCTCTTCTGCTGAAACCTGTTTGCTCCAATCACACCCCTTCGGTGGGTGGGTGAGCTGAGCGTCTGCGAGTTCAGGGGTCAAGTAAGAGGGGCCATTTCCTCCCTTGGATCCCCACCCTCCCCATGAAAGGGCTGCAATGCCTCTATGCAGCCCCACTTCTCCTCGACTGTGTTGAGCACAGAGGCCTAGGGACGCTGCTGGCCTGTCCACCAATCAAGAGACAGCGGACTCACTGGGCCTGAGCCCTAAATGCCACAATCAGAAGAGCCTTGGCTGGCTCCTTGTTACACAATCCCATACTAAGTACCACTTTGTACATGCTAAGTACCACTCTGAGGACTATGGTGCACCTGACCCATGCCATGGTATTTTTAATCACCTCATAACTATGTGAAAGCTGGACAATGAATAAGGAAGATCAAAGAATTGATGCCTTTGAATTATGGTATTTGCAAAAAAAAAAAAGAAAAAAGAAAAGAAAAACCTTAAACTCACTGTCATCAAGTCAATTCCAACTCAGCAACCTCTCATTGGGTTTCTGAGGCTGTAAATCTTTATGAAAGTAGATTGCCCCATCTTCCTTCCATGGAGCAGCTGGTGGGTTTGAACCGCCAACCTTCTAGTTAGCAGCCAAATACCTTATCCACATACCACCAGAGCTCCTTTGCAAAGAATACTGAATATACATAAAGAATACTGACTATACCACAGAGTGCTAGATGAATGAGCAAATCTATCTTGGAAGAGGTACAGCCAGAATGCTGCTTAGAAGTGAGGTTGGTGGGATTCCCTCTCAGGTATTTTGGACGTGTTCTCAGAAGGAACCAGTCCCTGGAGAAGGACATCATGCATGGTGAAGTAGAGGGTGAGCAACAAAGAGGAAGACCTTCAATCAGATGGATTCACACAGTGGCTGCAACAACAGGCTCATACAACATAGCAATGGTTGTAAGGATGGCACAGGACCAAGCAGTGTTTGGTTTGCACTGCTGTACGTGAGGTCGCTATGGGTCAGGGCCAATTAAGTACCACATAGAGTCCCTGCGTGATGCAAATAGTTAGTATACTAGGCTGCTAACCGAAAGCCTGCAGGTTTGAGTCCAACCAGAGGCACCTCGGAAGGAAGGCCTGGCAATCTCCGCCTGAAAACCCAGCCACTGAAAACCTCATGGAGCACATTCTATTCTGACATTCGTGTGGTCATCCCAAGTCGGGATCAAGTCAATGGCAATTATGTACTAGACACTATGCTGAGCACACCTATCCTTTATTGCATTTAATTCTCAGCCCCGTGAAGGAGGTACTTTCATTATCTTCGCTTAACCTATGGTGAAAATGAGGCTCCGAAAGGGAAGCACCTTGTCCAGGGTCACACAGCAAATAACAGCAGAGCCTGGTAACAGCTTCAGAGCCCATGTTTCCTCACATGAATGCATGAGATTTGTGCACATTCAGCTGCCCGAGCCCAGTTCTTCACCGTTCGTGGAGCACTTCACATCTGTTGTCTCGTTTGCTCATCACAAGCCCCAGGGACACGGAAGGTGGCATCACTGTCCCGTTTTACAGTGACAGGAACCAAGGGTCTGAGAGGTTAAGCAAGTCACTTGGCCAGGGAAGGGGAACGAGCCCCAGGCCTTGGACTAAGCTCTTCTAAGCTCCTCCAAAGTAAGAGCCCTTCTGGTCCTTCCCTAGACTGGCCTCTGATCCACTTTGCAAGCCCCAGAAACCTGCACAGGCCCCACCACAGAGCAGGTAGTCAGTGAGTGTGTGGAGCCCCGCAGATGACAACCAACACCATGCCACGTGTCCTCGGTGCCAAGCACTGTGCTAAGTGCTGTGCTGGCACCAGCTCCTTTTACCCTCACAGCCGCCCAGTGAGGTGGGTGCTGTTGCTTTGCCCATTTCATAGATGGGGGCACAGAGAGGTAAGTAACCTGCCCAGGTCACACAGCAGTAAGTCTCCTCCCAGGTCCCCAGGGGCCCCTGCCTTGTCTGAAGGAACTGGGAGTAGCAACAATTTGAGAAACCCAGAACCTGTAAACAGGTGTTGGCTGTGACGCAGCTAGAGTGTTTACATCCCTCCCTGGGGGACCCGCTCCTGGGCCCAGCCACACCCATAATATCTGCGCTCCCATGGTGCCGCAGGAGAGCCTGGGGCTCTGATCTGAAGCCCTGACCTGCTGGGAAGCTGCTCAGCCTCCCATTTTCAGACGGGGAGGGATGGTCTGTGCTAGACACCCAGAGGGTGCAAGTGCTGGTGGCCTCATGACATCTGAAATCCAAGCACTACTCTCCACAATGCAGGTCACCACCCCCATCTGAAATACGTGAGAATTGGAGACTGAGAGAGAAGCAGCATGTCCAAGCTGGCCGGCAGTGTCAGGTGACCCAGAGCCACACCCAGTGCCCCAAGGAAGAGCTGACTTGGCATTAAGGCTCTCGGACCTATCTCTGGCTGGGGCTTTGCCCAGAAGCCATGGCCCCAGCCTCAGCTTCCCTGGCTGCTGGGCCCAGGGGTGGGGTCCTCAGGGCCTCCTGCTGAGAAACAGCCTCCCCCTTCCACCCACACTAGGACTGTGCTGCGGAGGCTGCCAGATCTGCGGAAGAGTCACCTGCTCCGCCCACCGCTGACTGCCAGGCCTCACCAGGCATCTGAGATACTAGAGCCCCCAAAGAAAGAGACCGCGACCTCTCCCCATGCCCTTTTCCGGCCCATTGCCTTCACCCCGGCCTCTGGTGTGACCATCCACACCTGGCTTCCCAGAGGCCAAGAAGAAAGAATACACCTGCCTACAATAGAGGCCGTGGGCTTCACTTACCCCCTCTACTCCCAAACCCAAATCCAAACTCGCTGCCATTGAGTCAGTCCCGACTCATAGCGACCACTCCTTGGGTTTCCGAGGCGGTATCTCCACGGAAGTAGATTGCCCAACCTTCCTTCCGAGGAGTGGCTGGTGGGTTTGAACCACCAGCCTTCTGGTTAGCAGTCAAGTGCCTTAGGCGCTACGCCACCAGAGCTCCCCCTCTACTCCCAGATGTCTCTATTGCCTCCCAAACACCACTCACTGACAGCTCAGGCCTGTCAGCTTGGTAGAGGCCCCAGGCTCAGTCTAGGCAGAGGCTTATGGGATTCAGCCCTGTCGGGGATGACAAGAGGCAGGAGACATGGGAGAAAGCAGATGTCCTCCCAGCTGTGACAAAGGCCTCGGGCCTCCATGGAAAACCCCAGACTGCAGAGGGCAGGACTAGGACGTGGGCCCCAGGGCAGCCCCCGAACCAACTCACCCTCCTCAGCCATGTCCTTGTCCAGCACCAGCTTGCCATGCCGGAGGAAGTTCAGGATGGGCCCGAAGTAGGTGGGGTCACGGTCAATGAGGTAGGCCCCGGTTTCATCCTACAGAGGTGGGGGGCACCGACAATGAGAGAAGAGAAAGGCCTCCTAGCCGGCCCAACCCCACACAGACACCTTCTCCTTCAAGCCCCAAAAAGTACCAGAGGGAGCGAGTTTAGAAGCAAGGAGGCAGTATGCTGGAGCAAAAAGTCTTTGGGGTCAAACAGACCTAGGTTCAAATTCTGCTTCTGCCTTTGCCCAACTGTGTGACCTTGGGGGTGTGATATGGCCTCTGAGCCCCACTCCTCTCCCCTGTAACCGAAGGTCACTGTGAGCACTCGGTGGATGAAGTCTGGGTGACCCCAGCCCTGGGTAGGGCTCAGTGAATGATCCTGTTAGTGGTTGTTCCCTGAAGCCAGCCCCACATTTCCACAGATCCCCAGTATTCAGTGAGTGTTTACAAGTTTCCAAAGGTACTACCACCTCATTGGACATTCACAGCCTGCAGGGAGGCAGGGCGGGCATCCAGGGCTCAAGTCTAAAGAGAGAAAACCGAGACCTCAAAAGGTGAAAGGACTTCACCAAGGTCACAAGGCCCAAGGGTCCTAGGATGGGATGACCTTAGAAGTCAACTCCAGGCCAGCCCACTGGGTGTCAGACCAGGAGGCTGAGCCTAGAATAGGGAAGGACCCACCCAAGGGCACACAGGCAGCTGGCAGCAGAGCTGGGATGGAAGCCTCTAACCCGTCTAGCGGGACCAGCTCTCCTCCTGGACGGAACCCATCCCAGAGGGCTCCATCCTACTCACCCCACCCCAAAGGGTGGAGAGAAGCGGCCTCATCCACTCCTTCCCCAGAGCGGGAGTCTGTTTGGGAAGGAAGATCCCATGGTGTGCGTCCGACCCTACAGCCCCAAAGGAAGGCGAGAATCCCGGATCCACTAGCCAGCCCCCAGGGGTGGGCGCCCTGGGTCAGCCCCGAAGGCTCCAAAGGGCCGCGGGCCTCGCGTTGTCCCGTTGCCACGGCAATGGGCACATCTCTCTTCCTTAGATCCACTCTGTCCCCCTTCCTCCTAGGTCTTCCTGCCTCTGGCCCTTCGGAAACAAGGCGAGGCGCGTCCTCAGCCTGGCAGGCAGCCCGGCCACACAGCGCGCTCCCGGGGGAGCCAGAGACCCCTGCCGAGCCGCCCCCCGCCCGCGGCCTCACCCGATCCGACTGCAGCTCCTCGCCCTGACACAGGCGGCTGAGAAAGGACTTCTGCTCCCGGCACAGGGTTTGTCGTGTGGTCAGGAACACCGTGCCCCCCACGTTGAGCCGCACCCACTTGCCCCAGCCGCCCGCCGCGCGCCCGCCCGCCCCCGCCGGCGGCGCTGCCTCCCCGGCCTCCATCCTCATCGCCCGCCGCGGCGTCTGCAGCTCCGGCGCCCGGCTGCAGAAGGCGCGCAGGGGCCGCGCCAGGCATGCCGGGAACTGTAGTCCACGCCGCCCCTGCGCCTTCCAGGTCTGCAGACTTCCATTCCCGCCCGCCTTTGTCTTTCGTGGGAGGCCACAAACGGGATCTCTAGAAGAAGCCCTTTGGCCAAATGATTGTGCTTAGGATCGGTCAAATTCCTTTTCCAGCCTCTGGAAAAAGAGCGATACCCCAATTCAGCTGTGGTCCCATCTGTTCTCCGCATTATTGCTTTTCCTTTGTCCAGGTGGGGTTAACAAATAGTTTCCCCGCTTCACTGCAGTCATGTCTACTCACTCATAGCGACCCTATAAGACAGAGTAGAGCTGCACCAAACGGTTTTCAAATCTGTAAATCTTAATCGAAGGGACTGCCACATTTGAACCACCCACCATTGTGTTAACAACCAAGCTCTTAACCACTGTGCCACCAGGGCTCTTTTCAACTATGGAAGAAAGGCCTGGGAATCTACTTCCATAAAGATTAAATCCAAGAAAATTCTATTGCGTTTAGTTCTACTCTGTAACATATGGGGTCACATGGATTAGACTTGACTCCACCACAAAAGTTTGGGGTGTGTGAGTGCGGGCGGGTAGTTCTTTCCCCCACATAAGTCCTTTGGGGACAAAGGTTGGATTTAAGGTGGGCTGAACCCTTGCTATATTCTGGATGCTTCTTGTACATACATTACTCACTTAAAGTTCTCAGCAGCCTCGTGGGGTAGTGTCACTGTACCCCTTTCACAGAGGAAAGCAGAAGTGAAGTAACAGCTGATGAGTGGCTGGCCTCCTCAAACCTAAGTGCAGAGGACAGGTTTCTACCATCTAGGCTCCCTTCCGGCTCCCACGCCATGAGTTGTCAGAATTCCTGGGTTAAGATTTCCTGGGAGGAAGAGTGGAGAGAGTGCTGGAGCTACATCTCGATAACTGAGTTTTCATCCTGGTGTAGTGCCTAAGGCACTTGACTGCTAACCAGAAGGTTGGTGGTTCAAACCCACCTGCCACTCCTTGGAAGGAAGATTGGGCAATCTATTTCCGTAAAGATTTACCATCTCAGAAACCCAGTGGGGGGTCACTATGAGTCAGAGTCCGACTGGATGGCAGTGGGAGGATGAGATCTTGGGAGAGGTCTCAGTTTTCCCATCTGTCATTGGGGGGGTAGTGGGGGTAAACCAGATAGCTTGGAAGTGGGGCAGGATGGGGGGAGGAGCAGCTACCCCAGGAGGACCAGGCGGGATAAGCCTGAAGGGAACCTGTCCTGCTTTGCTTCGTCCACTAATTGTGGTTTCAGTCATGGGTCTGAGTTGGTGGGGAGGGGCCACACACACAGACCTACACACAGGGCAGTTAGGCCAACACACACACACACACACACACACACACACACCCCAAAGCTAGGGCAGCCTGACCAGTGCTGGGGGAGGGTTCCCGTCATTGCCCAAGGCATTGCTTTCTCCACAAGGCCCTTCCTCCTTGGCAGGAAGTGAGTCAGGGACCCGGCTAGAGTCCTGCCCCTGGGTATTCGCCAGCTGTGTGAGGTTCAGCAATTTCCTTTCTGAGCCTCACTTTTCTCTTTTGCAAAATGGGAATTATAATAGTTGTGACCCCAGAGGGTTGTGCAGATTAAATTGTGTCTATGAAACATTGTATGAGAGCTTACAGTCTAAAACACTTGGTTTGGGGAGGGCTGTGGTCTGCAGTGGGAGCCCCAACTCCATTTTGAGTTCAGATGCCTTTGAGTTCTTTCTGACCATTAAACCAGCAACATGGCTGTGCATGGATAAGTCTGGGACAAACCTAGGGGGGCAGTTGGTCCGCAGGAAGAGTGTGATTGAAAGTTAATTATACTCACACAAAGAACTAGGGAACTTGCCTGGGTGTGTCCTTATTGTTGTTGTTGTTATTTGCGGTCCAGTCAGACCTGACTCATAGCAAACGCTCCTTGGGTTTTCAAGGCAGTATCACTATGGAAGTAGATTGCCCAACCTTCTTTCCCAGGAGTAGCTGGTGGGTTTGAACCGCCAGCCTTCTGGTTAGCAGTCAAGTGCCTTAGGCACTACGCTACCAGAGCGCCTTGGGGTGAGACACAGGTGTGTGTCCTTACCTAATTTAAATTAAAGGTGGGGTCCTGGTATTGTCTTGTAGCCACTTTGTGGCTATGACTTGTGGTTATACTCTGACCACCATGTAGCCAGGTGGTCAAGGCCCAGAACCCAATCCTGTAATCCTTTTTAATCTTGTCCTTTCTCTGCTTCTGTAGTCCCACCTGCAAGAGTGATGAGTTGTTTGGGTAGGAAGGTCCCATGGTGTCCACTAATCATGATTGTGTGGTTATTTTTTATTATTGTTATTATTTGGGTGAAGGTTTACCGAGCACATTCCTTTTCCATAGAGCAGTTCATACACATTTTGTTTCATGACATTCACTGTAAACCCCGTAATATAGCAGCTGTTGTCCCACTTCCTCCCTGGGGTTACCTTACCCGGTGTCCTTCTTTCCTAGCCTTCCCTGCCCTCTGAGCGATCTCCCTGTGCAAACACTGCCCTTCTGATTGTGATCAGTTCTTTTGTACGCTATCAGATATAAAGGAGCTCTGGTGGTGTAGTGGTTAAGGCATTTGGCTGCTAACCAAAAACTCGGTGGCTCAAATCACCAGCTGCTCTGCGAAAGAAAGCGAAGGCAGTCTGCTTCAGTAAGATTCACAGCCTTGGAAATCCATTGGGGGTCGTTACGAGTCCGAATCGACTTGGTGGCAGTGAGTTTGGTTTGGTTCTATCAAACATAATGCACACGGTAACTGTGACTCAGTGGCCTCCATTCAGCTTCTGTACTGTGTACATGCCTCCGGTTTCCCTCATCCTGGATGACTTTCTTTGTTTTGTCTTTGTCCTAAGGCCTAATAAAAGGAGTCTGGTAGCATGGTGCCTAAGGCACTTGACTGCTAACCAGAAGGGTGGCGGTTCAAACCCACCAGCTACTCCTCGGAAGGAAGATAGGGCAATCTACTTCCATAGGGATACTGCCTCGGAAACCCAAGGAGGGGTCACTATGAGTCGGGTACAACTCGATGGTACATAACAACAACATGGAACATGTTTGAATATGGGGTCTTTTTTCCCTAGTATAACACTTAGGACAATCCCTGGCATTCGGTATACTGACTGACTGACTGACTGAATGAATGAATGAATAAATGAACAAACAAATGAATGAGATGGGATATGAACTGCCCTTCAAAGGTCGGCTCCACTTCTGGTACTTGGCTCTCAACAATTGAGCGCTGCTTGCTGCTTACACTGTCCTCTGCTGTCCCCTTCTGGGAAGAGCAACTTCAGGTGGTTCTTGATATGGTTTTCCAAACAGTTCGGCACTGGACCACTGGCCGAAAGGCTGGCAGCTGCCTGGGAAAAAAGCCCTCACAATGTGCTTCCAAAAGGTCATAGCCTTGCAAAGCCTATGGAGCAGCTCTTTGCGCACATGGGGTTGCCATGTGTTGCCACCAACTTGATGGCAACTAACAACATTATACACAGAATTGAGACAGGACAGAGGTGGTGAAGGGGTACAAGCTCCCAGATAAGATGTCAGCCCCAATTTTGCAGCTTACTAGCTGGTGACCTTGGGGAAGCCTCATAACCTCTCTGAACCTCCGTTCCCCCATCTGTAAGGAAGGAGTAATAATGGCACCTACTGCCCACTCATGTGCTTGTTGTGAGGATTCTGGGAGCTCACCCATGAACAACACTCTCTACATTGTCTGAGCAAAGACTCAGTGAATATCAGCCCTCCTGAAACCCATCCTGCCACCTGTTCATTATTGCGTGGACCTGAGACCAGTGACTCCTCTTTCAGATGCATTTCTGAGCAGCTGGGAGTGAATCAATCCAGTCAGCTCCTCCCTGGGATTGGAAGGAAGGACAGAGAGAATCTTTGCCTGAAATGGTCCAGGCTCCAGAGCACAGCAGCTGCCCTGTCCTTATGCTAAGTTCCCTGGGCATCACTAAATGACCTGGACATCCCTCGGCTACCAAATAGAGCTGAAGGCGCTGAGAGCAGGCCTGCTGTTCTCACCTGAGCACACCACCGCGCCCTGCTTGGAGCCTTCCCGTCTGCTCAGCATCCCCCACATCTGAGTGGCTGTTTGTACATCTGCTGTCAGCTCCCTGATGGAGATGTCACTCATCCCAGCTGAGGTTTTTGGAGTCAGTCCTCCTCTCCCCAAGTTCAGGATGTCAGAGTGTTCTGATTAGTCTCAACTCTTTGTTTTGTTCTTCACAGCAAATCCAATCTTAGCACTGCTGAGGTGCCAGTTCTGCCACTTATCCTGGGGGTGGAGGTGGGCTCTGAATCTGCGTCTTTTAGGTCACCTGAGGTGAGAAGCAGGCAGATCCAACCAAGGAGAGTCCGTTCTGATTGGCCAAAAATACTTGTATATAAGAACAGGCTTTCCAAGGCCCAGGGTTCAGGGTTTGAACCTTCGTTCCATCACTCCCAGGCTGTGGGACACCTGGTTAGTTACTTCCTCTCTTCAAACCTCACTTGACCCCATTTGCGATATTTGCAGCATAGTGACAGTAATCCTTATATAATAGTGTTACTACAGTAGTCCCTGGGTGGTACAAATAGTTAAAGTCTTCAGGTGTGAACCAAAAGATAGGTGGTTCAAGGCTACCAAGGGGTGCCTTAGAAGACAAGCCTGGCAATCTACTCCCCCAAAATCAGCCACTGAGAACTCTCTGAGCACAGTTCTGCTCTGACACACATGGGGTCACCATGAGTCGACTAGACGGCTGCTGCTTTGGCTGTTAGTGTTACTACATGCAGCAAATGTTAGCTATCATGACTGAACATCCACTGTGGACCAAGCCCTGGACCAGAAGTATTATTCTAGCCCAAACAACCAGTTCACTGTCAAGTGAACTCTGACTCATGGTGACCCCAGGTGTATCAGGAGTCGTG